AGAGAGCCAAAAGAATGTGAGTGAGACAGAGAAAGGGAGTGGGAGAGAGCAAGAGGATAAAAGACAGATGCAGTGAGAGCAAGTGAAAAAAGAGGAGACAGAGAATGAGAGAAATAGAGAAAAACAAAAGGTGAGAATGAGACAGGGAGACAGAAAGAGAGGATAAGAATTGGAGAGAGTGAGGGAGAAAGGGGAGAGAGAAAGAAACAGAAAACTAGAGAGAGGTAGAGAGTCAGAAATAGAAAAAGAAAGAAAGAGTGGGAGAGAATAAGAGTGAGAGAGTAAAAAAATAGAGAAAGATAAAGAGAGAGCATGAGAGAAATGGAGAGAAGTAGAGACAAAGGGAGAGAGAATTACAGAGTGAGACAGGAGAGGAGAGTGATTGTGACAGTGAGAAAAAGAAAGAGAGAAGGAAAGATAGAGACACACAGTGAAAGAGATAAGAGTATGAGAGCGGGAGACAGCCACTGAAACAGTGAGAGAAATAGAGGGAGAAAGAAATAAACAGTGCTAGAGAAATAGAGAATGAGGAGAGACAGAAGCAGTGTGAGAAAGAAACCATCAAGAGAATGTAGGAAAGAGAGAACGAGACAGAGACGAAGAATGAATAAGAGTGGGAGAGAGGAAAAAAAGGATGGGAGACAGAAAGACCGAAATAGAGAGACAAAAAGCAAGAAAGAATGAGAGTGAGACAGCAAGAGAGAGGGGGGCAAAGGGAGGAAGACAGAGAGAGTGACTGAGAGACTGATATAAAGAAGGAAAGAAAGTGGAAGAGAGTGAGGGAGAAAGTGAGAGATAAAAAGGATGAGAGAGTGGACAGAGAAGGAGAGAAAAAAAGACAGTGAGAGAAATTTAGAGGGGGGAGAGAGAGTGAAAAAGAGTAGAAGAAGAAAGAAAAAAGTGAGAGAATGAGAGAAATGGAGAAGAGGAAAGAGTGGGAGACAGACAGAAACAGGGAGAAATGGAGAGAAAGGGACAAAGGTAAAGAAGGAGAGAGGCAGAGGGGGAAAAAGAAAGAAACAGTAAAAAAGAGAGAGAGTAGGTGAGAGAGTGACAGAGAGAGCAAGAAAGAGGAAATGGGAGTGAGAAACAGAAAGATGGAAAGAGAGAGACAGAGTGAGAGAAGATGAGAGAGAGAAAGTCAGAGAGTAAGAAGGAATTCGAGAGCAAGACAGGGAGAAAAAAAGAATGGGAGAAAGAGCAAGATATGAAGGGAGAGAGAGCAAAAAAAGAATGGGAGACAGTGAAAAAAATGAGGGTGAGGGATAAAGATGAGGATAGAAAGAGAGACTGAGACACAGAGGGGGAGAAAGAGGGGAAAAAAGAATGGGAGACACCGAAACAGTGAGAGAAATAGAGGGAGAAAAAGAGAGTGAGGCAGAGAAAAAGAAAAATGGAGAGGAGAGAGAGAGAGGAAGAATGAGTGAGGCTGAGAGAAAAAGACATCGAAAGAAAGGGGAAAGAGAAAAAAGGAAAGATATACATAGTGAAAGAGAGGGAGAGAGAGAGAGTGGGAAAGGGAAAAAGAATGTGAGAGTCAAAGGAGGATGAGAGGAGAGAGAGGGGAGAAAAAAGAAGACACTAAAACAGTGAGAAAAACAGAGGGAGACAGTGGAAGAGAAAGGAAGAGGAGAGATAGAAGCAGTGTGAGAGAGTAAGAAAAAGAGTGTAGGAAAGAGAGAACGAGACAGAAAAAGAGAGACAGTCACAAATACAGCGAGAAAGAAAGTGGGAGAGGATGAATGAGAATGAGAGTGTGAGAAAAAAAGTGGGGGTGGAGAGAATGAGACAGAGATAAAGAAGAGGAGAGAGAGAGAAAGAGAGAGGAGGAAATAGAGAATGAGAGAGAGAGAAAAGAATGGGAGTCAGAAAGACAGAAACAAGAAAATAGTGAGGCAGAGTAGAAAAGGGAGAGACAGAGAGGGAGAAAAGGAAAAAAAGAAAGAGACAGTGAGAGGGAGGAGAAAGAAAGTGAAAAAAAGAGTAGAAGATGGAGAGAAACAGTGGGAGAAATGGAGACAGAAAATAAGTAAGAAAGAATAAGAGTGAGAGAGAGTGGCACAGAGAGAAAAGAAAGAGAATGAGACTGATGAAAAAAATGAAAGAAATAAAGAAGAGAGAGAGATAAAGAAGGAAAGAGAAAGTGGGAGAGAGGAAGAGATAAAGAGGATGAAAGAGTGGACAGAGAGAAAAGACAATGAGAGAAATTGAGAGGGGGAGAGAGAATGAAAAAGAGTGGAAGAAAGAAAGAATAAAAAGAGAGAATGATAGGAGAAGAGAGGAAAAGAGGAAGAGAGTGAGACCGAGAGAATAAGAGCAAAGAAAGAGTAGGAGACAGAGGGAGAAAGAATGAGGGAAAACAGAGTTAAGGAGAGAGAGAGAGAATGAGAGGCAGAAAGACAGGTGAGACAGAAAGAAATGGAGAAAGAGGAAAGTGGGAGACAGAAACACAGAAACAGAGTGAGAAATTAGAGGGATAAAGTGAGAGAAATAGATAAAGAGAGAGCCAGAGGGAGAGATAGAGACAGAGTGAAAGAGAGAAGAGAGCAAGAAGAGGAAAAAAAGAGTGGGTGACAGCAAGGAAAAGAGAGGGAGAGAGAGAACGAGAGAAAGTGAGACAGAGCAAAAGAAAGATGAAGAGAGAAATGGAGAGAAAGGGAATGAGAGAGTGACAGCAAGAGGGAAATAGGGTGTGAGAGAAAGATATTGGAGGAGAGACAGAATGAGACAGAGGGAGAGAGAGAGAATGGGAAAGAGAAACAGTGAGAGAATGGAGAAAAAGACATTAGAGAAATTGAGTGAAGGGGAGACAGAAAGCAAGACAGAAAAAAGAGAGTAAGCGTAAGAAAATGAGAGAAAATGGTAAATAAGGGAGAAAGAGGAAGAAATAGAGAGGGAGACAGAAAAGAATGGGAGACTGAAACAGAGAAAAAGACAAAGTAAGAGACAGTAAGAAAGAGTCAAGAGAGAAAAAGAGAGCGAGAGAAAAAATAAGAGAATATTAAGACGAGGCAGGCAAGGCAAGAGAGAGAGAGAAACACAGAAAAAATGGAGAGACAGAGAGAGAGGAGTGGGAGACAAAGAGAAAACCAGTAACGGAGAAAGAGAATCAGGGAGCGAGACAGAGAGAAAGGGAGACAACAAAAGAGGGAAAGAAGGTGAAAGAGAGGGAGAGAAAGAAAGCAATAGAGAGGGGAAGAAAAAGAAAGAGGAAGAGAATGAGAGTGAGACCAGATGAGAATTCAGTTCAAAGTCCTGAAGATTTGGCAACATAAATGAGAACTACAAAAAAGAGAGAGAAAGGAAGACAGAGAAAGAAGGTGGGAGAGAGAAAGAGAATAAGAGCAACAGAGTGAAAGAGAGACAAAGGCAGATGGAGAGAGTGACAGCAAGGAAGAGAGAGAAGAATGGGAAAGACAGTAAGTGAGGCAGAGAACGAGGGAGAAATAGAGAGGGAGAGAGAGACAGAAAGAGACTGAGGGAGAGTGAGTAAGGCAGAGTGGGAGAGAGACAGTGAGAGAAACTGAGAGAGGGAAAGAGATTAGAAGACGAAGAAGAGAAAGACACAGAAATTGAGAGAGAATAAGACAGAGAGAAAGAGGATGAGAGGGAAAAAAAGAAAGGAAAAGAGAACGAGAGGAAGAAATAAAGAATTAAAGAGCAGAGAGAAATAGAGATAAAGGGAGAGCAAGACAAAAAAATGTGGGAGACAGAAAGACAGAAACAGTAAAATAGAGGAGAGTGAGACAGAGAAAAAGAAAGGGGAGAAAGAAAAATGGAGAGAAAGAGGGAGAAAAAGCAAGAAGAGAGTGCAAGAAAAAGTTAAAGAATGAGAGTGAGAGCAAGAGGGAGAGAGAATGGGTATAATAAAGAGACAGAATGGAAGAAAGAGAATGAGAGAGCGAGACAGTGAAAGAGGGAGAGAGAGACAGAGTGAAAGAGGAAGAATGAGTAGGAGAGAGAGAACATCAGAAAGACAGCAAGAGAGAGAAAAAGAGAATGAAAGAGTGAGGCAGAGAAAAAGAGATAGACACAGTGAGTGAAAGAAAGAGTGGGAGAGACAGAAAAAGTGAGAAAGAGAAATGGAATGACGGAATGAGAGAAACAGAAAAATGGAAGGAGTAAATGACAGTGAGGAAGAGAGGGATAGAGAGAAAATGAGAGTGAGACAAAGAGATGCAGGGTGAGGGAGAGAGAAGAAAATAGGAACTGGAGGCAGATAGAGAAAGGGAAAGAGAAATAGAGATAGAAAGTGAGAGACAGAGAGAAATGGAGAGAAGGAAGGAGAGAGAGGGAGAGAGATGGAGACAAAAGGAGAAAAAAGAGTGTGGCAGAGAGAGAGAAAAGAGTAGGAGACAGAAAGACAGAAACAGTGAGAGAAATAGAGAGTGGGAGAGATCAAGACAGAATGAGAGGAGAGATAGCAAAGATGGAGAGAGGAAGAAAGAGAAATAGAGAAGGAAAGAACGAGAGAGAGAGTGAGAAAGAGTGGGAGAGAGTGAAAGGGTAAGGCAAAGGAATAGGATGAGACAGAGAAAAAGAGAGGCATCAAGAGAAAGAGAGAAAGAGGGACAAATAGAGCAAGAAAGAAAGAGAATGAGAGTGAGAGAAAGAGAACAAGAGCAAAAGAGAATGGGAGAGGAGACTAAGAAAGAGTGGGAGACACAGAGAGAAAGACAGTGAGAAACTGAGAAAGGGGGAGGGAGGGAGAAAGAAACAGAGGGAAAGAGAAAAAGAGAAAACAGGAGAGAGAATGAAAGCAAGATGGAGACAGAGCAAGAAAGAGGGAGAAAGAGAGAGAGAGTGGGAGACAGCAAGAGAAACTGATAAAAGAGAGAATGACAGAAAGAAGGCAGAGAAGGGAGAGAGAGACCGATCAAAAGAGTATGCAAGAGAAAAAGAGTAGGATAGATAGATGAAGACTGAGTGGGAGCCAGAGAGAGAATGAGAGAAATTGTAAGGGAGAGAGACAGGAGAGATAGAAGGACAGAGTGAAAGAGGAGAGAGAATAAGAAATAGAGAGAGAGAATGAGAGAGAGAGACAGTGGCAGAAGGAGAGAAAAAGAGATGAATTGACAGAAATAGAGAAGAGAGAGAGAGAGAGAGAGAGAAAGATGGAGAAAGCAAAAGAGGGAGACAGAGAGGGAAAGGGATAGAGAGAAGAGAGAGAGAATGTGAAAGAGAGAGAAAGGGAAAGAGAAAAAGTGAAAAAATAGAGGAGATACAGAAAGAGGTAGAGATACACACAGAAAGAGAAAATGAGAAAGAGGGAGGAGAGAAAGATCAGGGGAGAGAGAAAAAAGGAAAGAGAAATAGAGAGAGAAAGAGAAAGAAAGAAAGAGAAAGAGACATAGAGAAAGACACAGAGAAAGAAAGATGGAAAGAGTGATAAAAGGAAAAAGAGAGAAGGCAAGAGAGACATACAGAAAGAGAGTAAGGGAGAGAGAAGTAGAGACAAAGGGAGAGAGAAAGAGAAAAAAGCAGGAGATGGTCCAAAACAGAGCGAGAGAAATAGAGAAAGAGGGGGCAGCTAGGTGATGCAGTGGATAGAGCACTGGCCCTAGATTCAGGAGGACCTGAGTTCAGATCTGACCTCAAACACATAACACTTACTAGCTATGTGACTCTGGGCAAGTCACTTAACCCCATTGCCTAGCCAAAAAAAAAATAGAGAAAGAGAATGAGAGTGAGACAGAAAGAAAGTAAAAGAGGATGATAAAAAGAAAGGAGAGTGAGAAAGAGAGGGAACAAGGGAGAGAGAAACACAGAGAGACAGAGCAAGAGAAAAGGAGAGAATGTGAGAGAGTGATAAAGAGTGGGGAAAGAGAGAATGAATGAGACAAAGAGGGAGAGAGATCAAAGAGAATGGGAGAGAGACAGAAAGAGCGAGAAAAAGGAGAGAGAGAAAAGAGTGGGAAAGAGAGAAAGAGGGGGAGAGAGTCAAAGGGAAAGAAAAAGATTGAAAGAGAGAAAAAAGAATGGGAGACAGAATGAGAGAAATAAAGAGAAAGAGCACGAAAGAGAATGAGTGAGACAGAGAGAAAGAGAGAGAAAAAGAGGTAGAGAAAGAGACCAAGGCAGGTAGAGAGAAAGAATGAGAGACAGAGAAAGAGGAAGAAAGAGAAAGAGTGTGAGAGTGAGAAAAAAGTGAGAAATTGGAAACTAAATAATCCAATCCTAAAGAATGAGTGGGTCAAAGAACAAATAGAAATAATCAATAATTTCATTAAAGAGAATGACAACAATGAGACAACATACATATTTATGGGATGTAGTCAAAGCAGTACTGAGGGGGACATTTATGTCTCTCAATACTCACATCAATAAAATAGAGAAAGAGCAGATCAGTGAACTGGGCATGCAACTAAAAAAAAAAAAACTAGAAAAAGAACAAACCAAAAAACCTCAAACACCAAATTGGAAATGCTGAAAATCAAAGAAGAGATTAATAAGATTGAAAATAAGAAAACTATCAAACTAATAAATAAAACTAAGAGTTGGTTTTCACAGAAAAACCCCAATAAAATAGATAAACCATTAGTTAATTTGAATCTAAAAAAAAGAAGAAAACCAAATTACCAGTATCAAAAATTAAAGGGTGAATTCACCACCAATGAAGATTAAATTAAAGCAATTATTAGGAGCTATTTTGCCCAGTTATACCAACAAATCTAACCATCAAAGTGAAATGGATGAGGAAGATAAAGAGAGAAAAAGAGACAGAAAGTGAAAGAAAAATCAAGAAAAGCAAGTGAGAGATTGAGAAAGAGAGAGAGAATGAGAGGTTGAAAAGACAGGGAGAGAGAGAAGGAGAGTGGCAGAGAAAGAAAATGAGAGAGTGAGACAGAGAAACAACAAGAGAAAGAGGGAGAAAATGAGTGAGGTAGAAAGAGCGAGAAAGAGTGGGAGAGAGTGAGACGGAGAGCAAGAGAAAGAGGATGAGAGAGTGAGACAGATGAAGTGAAAGAGGACGAGAGAGAAAAAAGAGAAAGAATGTGTCTGAGAATGAGAGAGAGAAAGAAAGAGTAAAAAAGAGTGGGAGAGAGAGAGACTGAGGAAGAGAAATTGAGAAAGGCAGAGAGGGAGGAGAGAGAAACAAAGAGGAGAGACAAAAATAGAGAGTGTGAAAGAGGAAAGAGAGAAATAGACAAAGGGAGAGAGGAAGAAAGAAAAAGAAAGAGAAAGAGACAGTGAAGAAGAGGACAGGGGGAGAAAAGAGAAGAGATAGATTGGGAGAAAGAACAGAGACAGAGAAAAGGAGAAATAAAGAAAGAGACAGAAATACAGAGAAAGTGAAAGAGAGAAAGAATGAGTGAAAGCAAGGCAGAAAGAGAGACTGAGAGAGAAAAAGAGTGAGACAGCAAAAGAATGAAAAAGAGGTGAGAGAGTGAAAGACAGAAATTGTGTGAGAGGAAGAGAAAAAAGGAGAGTCAGTGAGAAAGAGACAGAGAGAGAGACACAGAGAGCATGAGAACCAAAACTGGAAATGAGGTGAAATTCTCAATAAATGGAGATGAAATAAAATTATTAGAAACTCTCTTACCTTTACGCCAACAAAACTGAAAATAAAATGAAATGGATGAATATTTATAAAAACATAGGAAATAACAAATATAAACAATCTTATCTCAGATTGAGAATTTGAATAAGTCCTAAATGAAATCCAAAGAAAGACCTTTGGTTTAATTGTGAATTTTATCAGACATTTAAAGAACAGTTAATCACTCTGCTACATAAGTTATTCACAAAAAATAGAGTAATATGTCACCTTTCCAAAAATCCTTCTATGAGACAAATATGATCCTGAGAATCAAATCAAGTCAGGGATAGATAAAGCCAATAAAGCATTCTTCAGACCAGTATCACTAATGCATATTGGTGAAAAAAAATACTAGTCAAGGAGTCATAATAGATTTAAAATGATTCACTCTGACCAGGTTAGATTTACACCAGAAATAGAAGGTTGGCTCAAAAATGCCCTATATTTGGAAAACTATACATGCATATTTATAACACATATTAATAAATAAAATCATGTGATCATTTCAATTCAGAGGCAAAAAAGCCTCTCGGAAAATACACTTTTATTTCTGATTTTCAGTGATAACATAAATTACATTTTCTTAATGTCATCAAAAGTCTATAAAATCAAGAGCTAGTTTTATTTGTAATCGAGTAACACCAGGAGCTTTCCCAATGAAATCATATGAGATTACCTACTGAGTCCATTATTATTCCTAGAAATGCTCCTATAGCGCTGACGACGAAAAATGGCTCAGGGAGCAGGTGCCCAACAAGGAGGAATAAGACTGCTTCCATTGGCAGACAAGATGATGTTTTATTTCAAGAACTCTGGGGTTTCAGGAACAACATTCATTAAAACAACAGCCCCATTAAAGTAGTGCGATGTAAAATGCAACTCCAAAAGTCGTCACCCCTTGTCTACATCACTTACAATCCAGGAAGAAGAGATGGACAGAGAAATTCTACTAAATCCTCTATGATGCATAAAAAAATGTTTGGGATTTAAGAGACCAAGACACACTTCAGAGTGATCAAAATATGGCCAGAAAGCATTTTTGACAGCGTTCTATAAGAAAAGTAAATGGGAGAGAGAGTCATTATTCATGGTTGGAGCATGCCAATATGTTAAAAATTATGATACTATTTTAAGTAATTTATAAATTGAGGGTTTTTTAAGTAATATACTACCAAGGGGTTACTTTACAGGACCAGATAAAGTCATGATGAAAGTTCATTCATTTCAAGGGAAACAATGAAAAAATCTAATAATGAAGGGAGCTTAGCATTACCAGATCTCAAATGATATTACAAAGCAATTTGTAATATCCAAGCTATTTGATACGACTTAAGAAAAAGAACACTACATATATGTAACAGACTAGACAAACAGGACCCAAAAGCAAAGGTTACCATTGTCCAGTGTTTTATAAACCCAGGAACATCAAATACTGGATATAGTACATAGTCCTTTTCCAAGAGTTCTTGGGAAAACTGGGAAATAGTTTTGGACCAGCATTTTATACCATGTAACCATCATCAGCCTGAAATGGCTATATGGCATTAATATAAAAGGTCACATAAAAATTGGAGTAGAAAGATTCCATATACATCAAAATATTCCTAGTCTTTTTTCTAGGAGAAAATTCTCAAAATGAAACTGGTACTCATCTCTTAGGAAATGGATAAACAAAATGTGATATATGAATGTAGTAGGATATTATTTACTATAAAAATGATGAATATGCAAAATTCTGAAACATAGGCCATGGGAACAATCATAATGATGATGATAATAACTATAATTTAGTGCTTTAAAGTTTACAGAATTCTTTATAAATATGATCTCATTTTATCCTCACAATGACTGCAGGTAGGTGCTATTAATATTATCCCTATTTTACAGATGAGGAAACTGAGTCAGACCAAGGTTTGGCCCTGGTCACAAAGCTAGTAAGTATCTGAGTCCAGATTTGAACTCAGGTCTTCTTGACTCCAGGTCCAACACTCTATCACATCCTGCACTGCTTAATATACAACATATATAAAGACTACAATAATGTCAGATATTTAAATGAAGCCAGACATTGAGCAATTGTAATGCCTCACCTTGGCCCTGGAGAACAGATTATGAAATGTACCTTCCTTTCACTAGAGAGTTAGGAGGCTACAGGTGTGAACTATTACATATACTATCAGATGCAGCCACTGTGTAAGTTGGTTTTGTTGAATTGTTTTCTTTTATTCCAAAGGGATTTGGGGGGGGGGGATGGGATATATCTAGATATGATTGTGATATACAAACAAAAGCACCAATTATTTAATATTTGTTGACTGTTCATTTTAAATGATTTTTCAAAGACAAGGAAGGTAATTGAAGGATGGATCCAAAACGTGGCAGATTCTTTTAAGATGACTGTCTGGCATTCTCTAAACCCCTGAATGAGGTTTAGAACCTCATGGCAAGGAGAGCTAAGGATTTGGGAAAGCTATACTTGGGAAAAGAAGAGGATGTACATATGGCCAATGCTTGGGAGAGATGGGACGATAACTGATAAGAAAATACAGAATTATGCAATTCAGACTTTGCTTCTCTTTTCTCTGCAAAAAAGAATGAACCTTGGATTGGAAAGGGCAGCCTTGAAGTGGATGCTGCAGATACTTAAGAAAGGACATAAAAGCAATCACACAGAACCCTTGATGAGTCCACGTGACTTGGCCCAAATAAACAACATCCTTGGGTGCAGTTCTGAAAGAATTATTCCATGGGATTCCCCAACTAGTATCAGTGGTCTTTCCTGGAAAACAAAGGCACTGCAGAACTGGAGTTGGTCAGATACTGGCCTGATTTTTCCATGCTCCCCCATGAAGTCTGCAGTCCTGTAAGCCTGTGAGCGCCATTTCAATTCCTGAAAAAATTCTTAGAATATATTATTAGAGAACAGACGTCGAAGAACAGTGGGATTTCTGTTTGCTGTGCACGAGGGATCCTAAAAATCTTACTGCAGTTTTAAGCGTTAATAGATGAAAGCTGCACTAAGATCTTTGGGACACCCTGCACAGTCAAAGGTCAGCTATGTCATTACAGCAATAACACCGCCCCCCCGCCCCCACACACATACAGATCATTTCATAATGTTTGTAGCCAAACAACTGGTCTGATTAGGAAGAGGTTCGGTGAATTAATAAGGAAAACTGGAAGCTGATTTGTTAAAGAAGAAAAAACAAAATAGATAAACCATTAGCTCATTTGATTTTTAAAAAGAGAGGAAAACCAACTTACCAATACTGAAAGTGAAAAAGGAGAAGTCACAGAAATGAAGAAGAAATAAAGGAAATTCTTAGAAAGCATTTTTGCCCAATTACGTGTCAGTATAACCGACAACTTTAAATAAAATAGATGAATATTTACAAAAATATAAAATATCCAGATTAACAGAACAAGAACT